TCCCCCTGGTGCTGTACTTTAGGGAGATGTTGGCCTACCAGGAGAAATTTGCCAAACATTATGCTCATGGTCTTGATGGCTGTGGCCTTGACCTCGAGGCAAAGGTGAGATGTGCGTACTACAGCCTGGTCAGGCGTCTGGTGGAGATGTTCCGCAGCCCCACGGTGTCACAGCAGTTGGACAGGTGAGTTCGCACAAATCGGGGGTCAGTAGGTCAGGTGTCACAGCTGAACAAGTGAGTTCATGCAGGTGAAAGGTTAGTTGGGTCAGCTGGAACAACTTTTGTCTGTGGTGTCGTGGTGTGGCGCTTCACTGTCACATGCAGGAGACCTGGGTTTGATTTCCATGTGGGGAACATTTTTAATAATCATAATAATAATAAATGACATTTATATAGCGTTCAACCCCGAATAAAGTACACAGGCTCTGAGCGCTTTACAATACAGTACAACATACAACAGTAACATGAAACGTTGTGTTCTGACTTTAAAAAAATTATTCCAAATATTCATCTTATTAATTTAAAAAACAGAAAAGACTTCAGCTGACATTTGAATGAATCAAAAGATTTGATTTCTCTCAATGTACTTGGTAAAGCATTTCAGGACATATATCCCTCCTCCCCTCCCTCTCCCCCTGTCCCTCCCCCTCCATCTCCATGTTCCCTGTCTGAGTTTGTGAAGAAGTTTTAAGATGATAACCCATCTGTATAAAGAAAGGGTTGTACAAAGTTTATTAGTCTATCATGTTTCTTTTTTCAGAATGAGATAATGGAGAAGTACCCGTCGTTCCGTCTGGTTATGGAGTTTGTTCAGGACCCAGCTTGGACTGCACAAAGGTAACTCACTACATTTTGTCTCAGGGTTTTGTTAACGTCCTATGTTTTGTTTCCCAGTGTTAACTTTCTGTAATGAATTTTGATGTGGTTATGTTCGCACCTTGCATTTTCTGTCTCCATATTTGAAGCATGGTGGGGAAATCAAGGGCTTGTCAAAATAATGAAATCAAAGAAACCAACATTTTCCACCTGTTCGCCAGTTTTTATTGAGTTTTTTTGTCCATTTATCAACATGTTCCTGCATGGATTTTATTGAAAATGTTGATCAAAGGCACAAAATATATAAATTTGCAGTTTCCATAGACACTAGAGCTTTGGAATTGACCAGACTTTGGCAGACAATTTCTCGCTAACTTTACCTTTCATACCAGATGACCCTCACCTCCTTCATTCACAAATATTTCGACTTCTATTCGAGATACATGGATAGAACTAAGAAATATAAGGCATATACTGTTCAGGTAATGGTCACATTGGCTATTGACTAGTAAGAAAGTAATGTTGACTCGTGACTAAGCATTGTTCACATTGGGTTTTAGCTTGAAAGAACTTATCTTGGTCACTTTGGATGTTGCCTGTCTATATGCGGGTAGGCTCAACTTCTTTTCTTTCCTTCTGTTGTTTCTGTTTGTTTGTCTTATTTTTTTCCTGCACTAACTTGATATATTGTGTCGCTGTGTTTCTCTTTTCTCTAACTGAAACTGTCTGCGTATCTCCAGGGTCCATCAACTGCTCCAGGAGCGTGTCCAGTTTGCCGGGGCTGTCAGTGATGTCTTCATGTATGCAGCTGAGATGATTCGCATCATGTCTGCCCACAGCAGTCCCTTCCAGGTCAGGGCCACTTTCTGTGTGTGTGTTTTTGTTTTGTTGGGGTTTTTTTTTAGGGGGGGGGGATTGGTCATTTTTATGTTTCCTTTATATCTTTTTCTTTTTTAGAGCAATCAAGAGTGGGTGTTGTGCAGGTGCTCTGGTATAGTTGGCTCCTTCTTTCCTATCAAACTCTATTGTCCTTATCTTTTGTGTTACAAGTGCTGTATAACTTACTAAAACAAAAACCTGTCTCCATGCTCCTCCCCCCCCCCCTCTCCCATACAGATCCCCCTGGTGCTGTACTTTAGGGAGATGTTGGCCTACCAGGAGAAATTTGCCAAACATTATGCTCATGGTCTTGATGGCTGTGGCCTTGACCTCGAGGCAAAGGTGAGATGTGCGTACTACAGCCTGGTCAGGCGTCTGGTGGAGATGTTCCGCAGCCCCACGGTGTCACAGCAGTTGGACAGGTGAGTTCGCACAAATCGGGGGTCAGTAGGTCAGGTGTCACAGCTGAACAAGTGAGTTCATGCAGGTGAAAGGTTAGTGGGTCAGCTGGAACAACTTTTGTCTGTGGTGTCGTGGTGTGGCGCTTCACTGTCACATGCAGGAGACCTGGGTTTGATTTCCATGTGGGGAACATTTTTAATAATCATAATAATAATAAATGACATTTATATAGCGTTCAACCCCGAATAAAGTACACAGGCTCTGAGCGCTTTACAATACAGTACAACATACAACAGTAACATGAAACGTGTTCTGACTAAAGAAAATGATTCCAAATATTCATCTTATTAATTTAAAAAACAGAAAAGACTTCAGCTGACATTTGAATGAATCAAAAGATTTGATTTCTCTCAATGTACTTGGTAAAGCATTTCAGGTCTTGGGGCCTTGGTATTCAAATGCCCTTTTACCCATTTTTTAAAGTTTCATAGATGGTAAAATAAATTTCTTTTTGTCAGCTGATGACCTTAAACTGCGAGTTGGAATGTAAAGTCTTAACAGATTTGATAAATATGATGGTGCATTATCATTCAAACATTTGTGACATAGGGTGGCCAACTTGTACACAATCATTTTCTCTACAGGAAGCCAATGCAAAGTTCGTAAAAGAGGTTTAGCAGAGTCTCGCTTTCTTTTCCGCAATACTAAACATTTTCATAGAGTACTTTCGTCTTTCTATTGGAACGTTGTATCCCTCTTATCCCAAGTTAAACCCATCCAAGACAACTACCCATTGTCAAGGAGAAAAGTGATCATCTTGAACAATGTCATTGTAATTTAGAAAAACACACAAGGGGGAGGGGGGAGTGGTAAGTGGTTGTTTGTGTAGGTGGTCGTTAGAGCAGGTTCAGCTATACACTCACAGGCACCCACATACACATGCATACATGCACGTACAAACATACCCGTATGCACCCACACACACATCCACATAAAAGTTGCTGTTCTCGTACAATATACTCGTACATAATGTTCCTGTTCACAAATAGGACATGAACCTGTATCAAACTTATTTTACATGTCGATTGTTTGTGAGACTCTGTCATAAATCTCTTTTCAAAATGGTGTATGGTGAAGTCTCACACTGAGCAGTTGATGTAAGATGCCGGATTTGTATGTGTCTTCGTGTTGTGTCAGTTGGGAAATGTGTCTCTGCAAGCTTTATAATATATAAGTTATGAGTGGGTGGTTGGAGGGTGTTTAAATTTTTTTTTCCTGTTATTTCTTCCTGTCTGTTCTGTCTTACATTTTCCATCACTGAATGATGGGTACTCTGTCAATGTGCTTCTTGTTGCACAAACAAAAGTGAAATGTGTGATTATGAATGGTGTGACATGTGTCTCTGTGACTGTGAGTTGTGTAAGTGTTGGTTAGAGGGTGGTTGTAGGGGGCCACTGGTAGGTCCTACTTCTTATGTTCCCTTTGTTGTTTCTGTCGCCTGCCTTACTTTTTCCCAGTACTAAGTGTCCATTATTTTGTAGGTGTGCTTCTTTTCCTCAAACAAACAAACTGTTGGTTGTAAGGTGTGTCTCACTGTGTTTCTCTATGTATCATTCTAATAATACTGCATCCTATTTCAGTAAACGGGTCCCAGCCTGTGACTTCCTCAAGTGCTGTCTGCTACACCTACTAGACGTGGAGTGGCAGGTGAGAGAGTACTCATGATACACACACATTCTTATTTTTAGGTGTCAAAAGCCTCAAGTTTCAGAGATCCTTTTATAATTTAGAACAAGTTCATAATGGAGGGTTGAGGGCAAAAGGAAACACTAGTCACTGTGGCTTGAGCTATTGTCAGAGATGCCAACCAGTACAATTTTACGTATTTTAGTACGATTTTTTGCCGAAAATACGCGAATATGACTTTTCATGAAAAAATATGCATCCTGGAATGACAAAAATATGAGATTCAGCTTGGGCGAGTAAACCTAATTATCTGTGGGCGGTTGGTGGGTGCTCTGGTGTGGTTTGCTTCTTCTTTCCTATGAAACATCTATCGTCCTTATCTCCCCTTCTTCTTTTTTATGTTTGTTGCTCTCTTGTAACCCCTCTAATCTTCTGGCGCTCATATGACCTTATGCAGTTGTGAACGCCGAAAAACCTCTACTTGAACTTAACTTTTAAAAAACCTGATTATCTCAAGTCCCATCTTTTGTCAAAATAGTCTCAGTATCGCGGAATTGGCATATTTGAAAACAAAGTCCGATAAGGTCAGTAAGTTCAATTTTGCCCGTCGCACAGGCGGTTATGGCGGCAACAAAAGTGGAAGTGTATGTGCGATACCGAAGCTCGATCGGGAAAATCAAGATCTACTTTCGCTTTCGTTACCACCAAGAAATTTGCCGGTAGGGCCTATAGTAGTCTGATAGCGCCACATTTGTAACATGCAGGTTTTGCATTACAAACGCTGTGTCACAATGAAAATAATTCGTTTGTCCTGTGCTGTCACTTGTGAATAAAACAGAAAGAAAAAGAAAGCTTCTTGTCGGGCTCGCTGTCGTGTCCGGTCACATCGTGAGTATCGGCGATGGTTGAGGTCACCAAAATTCATGCTAAGTCTAAGCGCTGCAAAGTATAGGACTCGGGAATGGGGGATTATTGATTTTTTTTTAAAGACACTCACGGGGGAGGGGCGGGGGTGGGGTTGAAGGCAACACTGGATGATAAAAACTGAACTTGGAAGCAGATTTTACTTTTCAGAATTTTTGATTACTACTGTCTAGAGCTCTGTGCACAGCGCACTTTGGTGCAGGCCTTGTGTGGAATCGGGATCTGTAATACTCAAACCTTGTAAGCCGTGTTTTTGTAACTAAAGGGTTCGCGTTTCATTGATTGTATATTCTATATTTTAGCTTTCTGTTCAAGATTTGCAGATTTTCAGTGTCACTGCATCTTGCCCTCCCTCAGTTCTTACACCTCTCACACTGAATAGGTCTACTTGAGCCATTCATGTTATTACTCTACTTTGAGTTAGAGCTATAATTTTTGTCTTTCACGTTTATTATATAAACCTTGACACCCTAAACTGGTTCTTGACAGTGGATATTCTGGTTCTAGGCCTTTTCTCAGGCTCAAAGCAAGATTCATTTTTATATAGTTAATATAGGCGAATATGATGAGGGGAAAATATAAATAAGTAAGAACAGACTGAAATACCTAAGTCACAGTATCCCAGTGCCACACTGACATCATGTTGTTGACTGGATATAATGTACCTGCATGCGTGCGTGCCACGTGTGTGTGTATATATTATATATAATATATAAATGGAGCATGCACTGTCATCCTTGGAGAATGGATGAGCCCCGCCCCCGCCTGGAAAATTGAGAAGCCGGGTTGGCAGTCACCGTGGGAACAGTTTTTGTAGGAAAATCGAAACTATGATATGGTTCCTTTCGGACAAGTGTAGGCCTTCGAAAATTATTAAATAGGCTTTCGTCATGAATTTTTTTACCAGTTCTCTTTGAATTTTAAACATTTTTCCTTGAAATCTCCTTGAAACCTCCTTGAATTTGATGGGAAGTTCATGGCAGGAACCCTAATTATATTATTCGTTCAGCTTTTCCGCGTTCGAGAGAACGTTTCACGCGAACAGGCGGCTATGGCGGCAGGCGGAAGTGTATGCGACACCGAGGCTCGATAGGGAAAATCAAGGTCTACTTTCGTTTCCACCGAGAAGATTGCCAGCGGTAGTCTGATAATGCAACATTTGTCACATACAGGTTGTGCAGTATAAACGCTGCAAATAAAATTTAATCAATACTCGGACTCGTCTCTGTGCTGTCACATTTGGGAAAAAAAGAAAATACAAGCGTCGTCCGACTTTTAGATTGTCTGGCTCACCATCGTGACCGGTCAATGAACCTGCGCGCCTTCGCATCATAAATAAATGCGGCATCGTGTGAGCAAAGACCGTTTTTGTTGGGAGTAACGGCGTTGCGAAGTATAGGACTACGGAATAGAGGAAGGGATTATTGATTTTTTTAAAAGATACACTGGGGGGGGGGGGGGGGGGGGTGAAGACAACACCAGAGGACAAAAACTTGGAAGTAAATTTCAGTATTTTGATTAGAGCTCTGTGCAAAGTGCGCGTTTGTGCAGGCCGTGTGCGAAATCGGGACCCTTCATACTTTGCAAGTCTGTGTTATTGAAATAAAGTGTTCGCGTTTCATTGGATGGGTGATAGTAAACTATACCTACAGTGTATGTTGCAGCTTTCTGTTCAAGGCTGGCAGATTTTCAGTGTCACTGCATCTTGCCCTTCCCCAGTTGTTACAACTCTCACAGTGCATGGATCTACTTGAGCCTTTCAAGTTATTGCTCTTCTCTGAGTTTGAGCAATAATTTTAGTCTGTCAGTTATAATGAGAGGAAAATAATATAATAGACTGAAATACTTAAGTTAGACAAGACCCCGGTACCACTGAACACTGACATGTTGTTGACTGGATACATGTTATGTTGTGCGCGTGTGTGTTCCCTTTTTCGAGCTGGTGAGCTAGTAAAATTTTTTTAGGAAATATTGCTGGACACCCTGAATATTTTACTAGTCGGTCGGTTGATCGTGGGGAATACACATTTTCCCCTGAAAATACACATTTTCATATTTCCCAATACTCATTTCGGTTTTCTGTGGTTGGCATCTCTGTATTGTGTATACAGTATAGGTCTCAAAAAAAATTTTTTTAAAGAAGTGAATGATAAAAATAATTGGATGTAACCTTTACCATGTGGTGGCACCCCTTCCCTCCCCATGCAGGTTAGCACCGGCATGGCTTACCAGTTGCCCTTCCTCTGCTCAGCTATGTTCCCCCTTCTCTCCCCAGCCCTACGACCTCAACTTTGTGGTGGACATGGAACTGCCCCGGTTGTACATGAGCATTGCTAAAGGTGAGTCACGCATGCACCCACACACACACACACACACACACACACACACACACACACACACACACACACACACACACACACACACACACACAAACAGATACTCTCAAGGGCACACATATATTTGATTTCATGGACAGTCATACTCAGTCTCTTAGTTCGATAATTATCATGCTGGGCTAAAGCTTGGATGGCCCTAGCTCAAATTCCCGACTCGGAGGCTAAAGTAATTTCTCAAATTCAACCATAACTTTTTTATTGAAACTTTTTCTAAATGGTCTTATCAAAAGGTAAATATGTGAAGTAGAGCTGGGCTTTGACGCATTCTCGAATTGCTACTCTTGTAGATATCAGCCATTTTTAGCTCCATTTCTTATTATATCTTTTGACATAGTGTGTCTCTGGTTTAGTGATACAGAAAGGCATAGCCCATATCTAGTAGATATAGATAACTATGTGTTTGTATGTGTTGTGGTTTCAGAAACGGTCAAGATGCGAGACCTTAACACTTCGGACGTGAAAGAGGAGGATGAGCTGTTGCAGTACGACCTCTCCATGAAGCTCTTCTCAGAGATCAAGGATGACTTCACCGAGTGGTTTGCACGACGACACAGCTGTAATGAAGACAAGAAGGTAAGCATTCACACACTCACCTACACGCATGTATCTGCTCTCGTAGACGTGAACATATGCGCACACTCACACACACAAATACACACGCACACACACACACGCGCGCGCGCGCACACACATACACACACACACATACAGGTTTGTGATGTAATAGCTAAACTCTTTGCTATGGCATGTATAAGTCATGAGTTCAATTCCCATATAGCAAAATCTATTTTATAGAGTATGTCCTTACAACTGATATACTTTATCTCACATTATGTCTTGTGATGTTTTCTCATAAATACGTCATGTCTTGTGATGTTTTCTCATAAATGCGTCATGTCTTGTGATGTTTTCTCTCACATACATCATATCTTGTGGTGTTTCTAGGAGCTCAAGATGTTTGTGGCTCGTTTCTCCGATGTGATTGATGTGGAGATCTCATGTGACGGATGCGGTGTGACCTTGCCCGGACGGCGCTACCGCTGCTTACAGTGTGACGACATGGACCTCTGCACATCCTGTTTCTCTTCTGGTGTGGAACCAGAAGAACATCGAGATGACCACGAGATTGTTCACTTGGTGTGAGTGGCCTGTTATTATTTGTACTTGTATTCATTGATATGGCTTTTGTTTTGTTTTTTTCTTCTCTTTTTTACAAAACTACACTGACACTGACTTGATTCTGCGATGTAATGTTCAGGCTCTATAGTTCAATTCCAGAGTGGGAAAGTAGTTTATTGAGTACTGCAATCTATCTGGTTGGATGTTGTATCCTATCCAGTCGCGGTTGGCCCTGGCTGGCAGGATTGAAGCAGTCCACCTCCTAATTGATCTGGTGTTCACTGATAAGGTTTTGTGTTTGTGTGTGAACGCTTCTATGAGGTGTATGTATGAGCGAGGGGGGGACCCGGTATGTATGTTGGTGTACCTGTATTTATGTCAGTGATAAATGTGTGGCTGCAGATGTTTATGAATGTACATGTGTATGTGTATGTGTGTTTGTGTGTGCGTGCGTGTGTGTGTGTTTGTCTGTGACTGTGTTTTTGTATGTGTAGTTTTATCATGAACATGCAAGTGTACTACTTTATGTGTGTGTATGTAGGTGTGTATGTGTTTATGTATGCTTATGTTTAACAGTGTCTGGCTGCATTTGTAACAGTGTAAAGAGTCTGCTCTCTGCATTTTTTGTTGTTGTCGTTGTATGTGCAGGTACAAATGCAACCACTGCCAAGCGTTCATCGTGGGTACTCGGATACACTGTAACCAGTGTGATGACTTTGACCTCTGCCTTGGCTGTCACATCAAGCAGAAGTTTCCCTCTGGGTGAGTCACTGCTGTCATTGGGTAGTTATTGCTGTTGTGTGCATGTACTTGTGCACTTTTTGTGTCCCATGTATCTACCTGTACTGAGAATGACCTTGTGAACTTTCCTCTCTAAATGCCCCGTATATCTACCTACACTGAGACTGACTGCTGTCTTTGTTTTGTTTCAGTCACACGGAAAAGCATGACATCACAAAAATACCCATGGTCAAGTGTAAGTGACCTCACTTTTATTCCTTTTTTTTAGCTATTTTTTAAAACATGTTTCTGCTGTGTTCATTGTTGTTCTGCCATGATAGAATTCAGTAACTCTGTCTGGATATTGAAATTTGGTTATCTTGTTACAGGGCGCAGTCCTGTCTAATAAAGTGACACTGGTAGCCAATGTTTAAAGTAATTATTTATAGCCATGTATCACCTTTGGTGAAACACTAACAACTTTTAAGGCACTTCATTAGCTGATCAATTAAAAAAATATGTTCTCCATCCCTTTCTGGGGATACTTTGCTATTGTTGTCATTTTCTGATCTCTACTGATTATGTGTAACAGACCTGCCGCTCATTCCGATTTAATCGGGGTATCCCGATTTTTTGCCCCAAATCTCAAGCATCCCGATTTTCCCGATTTCAATCGCCAGTATCCTGATTTTTTGTTGTTTCGTCTGTTGCGTCCGACTCTTAGAAAAAAATATAAAAAGTTCTGTAATCTCTTTTGCTTAGAAGCACTGATTGGACTTTTTATCAGCAGGAACTTGGAACGCTATTTTCTAAAGCATCTATGCCAAATCTAGTAGATGACTCCCGCACAATATTTCTACTCTCACTGACTTCGTCTCCATTTTCTCCCCACCTCCTCGCTCCCTCCCCTCTTTCACCGCCCACTTTCTCTCTGCCCCCCACCTTCTCCCCCACCCCATTCCCCGCCAACCACGTCCCACCTACAGTAAAGACCAGCCAGTCCAGCAATTCCTCCCTCAAGACCTACGTCCACCAGCATGTGTGGATGCTGTACACCTCCCTCACCTTGGCCTTGAGCGACATCGTCTACGGCACAGAGCCTGGGGCCGCCTACCTGGACTCGGACTACATCAAGATGGCCGGCCTGCTCCAGCAACAGTGTGTTACCCAGGCCACCTTGTGTCTGGACCATGTCACCAAGGAGATAGATGGTCAGTGTGTGTGTGTTCGTGTGTGTGACCAAGGAGATAGATTGTCAGTGTGTGTGTGTGTGTGTGTGTGTGTGTGTCACCAAGGAGATAGATGGTCAATGTATGTGTGTGTGTGTGTATTTGTGTGTGTGTGTCTCAAAGGAGATAGATGATCAATGTGAGTGTGTGTGTGTCTGTGTGTGTGTGTGTGTGTCACCAAGGAGATAGATGGTCAATGTGTGTGTGTGAGTGTCTGTGTGTGTGTGTGTGTGTGTGTGACCGAGGAGATAGATGGTCAATGTGTGTGTGAGTGTCTGTGTGTGTGTGTGTGTGTATGTGTGTGTGTGTGTGCGTGACCAAGGAGATAGATGGTCAATGTGTGTGTGAGTGTCTGTGTGTGTGAGTGTCTGTGTGTGTCACCAAGGAGATAGATGGTCAGTGTGAGTGTGTGTGTGTGTGTATGTGTGTCACCAAGGAGATAGATGGTCAGTGTGAGTGTGTGTGTGTGTCACCAAGGAGATAGATGGTCTGTGTGAGTGAGTGTGTGTTTGTGTGTGTGTCACCAAGGAGATAAATGTGGTGTCAGTGGCCTAGTGGTTAGGCTCTCAGACTCGCAACCGTAAGGCCGTTGGTCCGAATCCCGTCAGGGGCCCGACGTTGTATCCTTGGGAAAGGCACTTTGCACAAATATTCCCCACTTCACCCAGGTGGAAACGGGTACCCGGCTATAGACAGTGAACGATCTTGTCAGTTTGATAGTGTTTGAGCGCATGAAATCCGCAGCTTTCCCTGTAGGCTTCTGTGGTAGCCAGGAATGTTTCTGGGTGTTCTCAGAGCGTCTGCTGGGGTAATAATAGTTGTAAAGCGCATAGAGCTTGCTCTTGGGCACGGATATGCGCTATATGAATACAATTATTATTATTATTATTATTATTAAATGGTCAGTGTGTGTGTGTGTCACCAAGGAGATAGATGGTCAGTGTGTGTGTCTGCATGTGTGTGTGTGTATGTGTATGTGTGTCACCAAAGAGATAGATGGTCAGTGTGTGTGTGTGTCAGTGTGTATGTGTTTGTGTGTGTGTGACCAAAGAGATATATGGTCAGTGTGTATGTGTGAGCATCTATGTGTGTCTGTGTGTGAGTGTGTGTGTGTGACCAAATAGATAGATGGTCAGTGTGTGTGTGTGGGTGAGAGTGTGTGTGAGTGTGTGTGTGTGTTTGTGTGTCCAAGGAGATAGATGGTCAGTGTGTGTGTGGGTGTGTGTGTGTGTATGTGTGAACAAGGAGATAAATGATCAGTATATTTGTATGCTTGTGAGTGTATGTGTGTGCGCGTGAGTGTGCTTGTTTGTTTGTACAGTCTTACATCAGGATGGCTGGCCTGCTTTAGCAGAAGTGTGTCACCCAGGCCTTGAAGTACCCGAACAATGTCTCCAAGGGAATAGATGAATCAATGTGTGTGGGAGTGCATTGTGTGTGTGTGTGTGTAGATCTATTGTACTCAATGTGGGCTGTTACTTATTATTTGACAGATTATGTTGTGTTTTTTATGTGAAGTCTCTCAATAAAATCAGGAGTCAGCATGCTCTATAAATAGTTCAAGTGGTTGGCCATGCTCTGGTGTGGTTTGCTTCTTCTTTCCTATCAAACATCTATCGTCCTTATTTCCCGTTCTTCTTTTTTAGGTTCGTTAGTCTCTTGTAACACCTCTAATCTTCTGGCGCTCATATGACCTTATGCTGTTGCGGGCGCTGTAAAACCTCTACTAAAACTAAAAGCCTAAAATAGTTCAAAAGTACTCTGAGTTGACTTATGTGTCTTCTTTCATCATTAAAATCAGAAGCCTTTTATTTCTATGTTGAAAAATTTTCCAAGAAACCATGGTAAAGGCATAGCATCATCAATATGTGTGTGTGTGTTTTGTCTTCCAGGTGAGGCAGAGAAGGAGGTCCCAGTGGAGAAACGTCGAGAGCAGACATTTGCTATCCACTCCCAGGAGAGGATCATGGGACTGCTCGGAGCAGTCATGCCCAGTGGAGAACACAGAGTAATTCTCCCTCTTTCTCTGCCTTTCTATCGGTTTTTCTATCTCAGTGTGACTCTCTCTCTTTCTATCACTCTCTATTTATGTCTTTGTTACCCTCTTTCTGTCCCACTCTCTCTCTCTCTTTCATTCTCTCTCCCTTTTTATCTCTTTTGTCTCTGTCACTATCTCTCTCAGTCTTGTGTCATTCTCTCTTGTCTCTGTCACTATCTCTCTCAGTCTTGTGTCATTCTCTCTCTCTCTCTCTCTCTCTCTCTCTCTCTCTCTCTCTCTCTCTCTCTCTCTCTCTCTCTCTCTCTCTCTCTGTCTGTCTCTCTCTCTCTCTCTCTGTGTCTCTCTCTCTCTCAAATCTAATGAGATCATGTGACGGTATATCCTCCCCAGGAGAGAGTGGCTGGAACAGGCTTCAATTTCTGGACCAAGGATTTCCTTGACCGCTTTCTCCGGGTGTCCAGGTATATTGACAATCAGTTGTTTTTGTATAGAACTAAAGTATACCCCCCACCATGTCTTCAGGTTATTTTTTTATTGTTTCCACCTATCTTATTTTTTCTCTGCACTAAGTGAGTGTTATTGTGTCAATGTCCTTTTTTTAAGCCAAATTCAGACTTCAAAGTACAGTCACTTGTTTTCGAGCTATGATTTCCATGTTTTACCCTGTGTGACCAGCTCAATATCAACCCATCCAACCATTTATCAGCTGTGGTCATCTGACTATTGTGGTGTAGTTTGAGGTGGTTCATCTAGCTGGTCCAAGTTGTGCAGGAAGTCCTTTGGCTATTTGGTCCTGTCTCCTTGCACATGCCCACGATTTGCCACACCATCTCTCTTGTGCAGATGGTTGGGAAGGCACCACTAATTGGTCCGACTTCTTTTCTGTCCGTCCATTATAACTATCTTGCTTTTTCCCTTCACTAAATAATCATAAAGGTGGTTGGAGATGCTGTTGGTAGGTTCTACTTCTTTCTTTCCCTCCTTTGTCTGTGTCTTACTTTTTTCCCCCAGCATTAAATGACTGTTATTGTGTTGATGTTCTTCTCTTTACTCAAACAATCCTCTCTATGACCTGACCACTGTTTCAGAGGGGAGAATGGCTACGAGCTGAACACCCAGCACCTGGCCCTGAGACTTCTGGGCCGTCTCCTGGCCAATGGGGAGATCAAGGCCACCAAGAAAGACGATGGTGGACAGGTGGGTGATGTTGACTCATCGTATTGTTGGTGGTTTTTTGTTGTTGTTGTTTTGGTTCACAGGTGGTCAGAGGGCGCCACTGGTAGGTCTTACTTCTTTTGTTTCCCTTTTTTGTTTCTGACTATCTGTCTTACTCTTTCCCTGAATCAAATGACTTTACTAAAAAAAACAAGTTTTGTTTCCATAGTTTGTTATTGCTTGTGCAGGAAGTCCTTTAGCCAACATTTGCATAATTGTCTAATGGGAACATGTGGAATTGTTCAGTCGCAAAAACTGATGATACACATGAGATGGTTAGGCCATTTTGTTGCTGTATGCTGGTTTGTTGTTGTGTGTGTGTGTGTGTGTGTGTGTGTGTGCGTGCGCGCACGTGTGTGTATGTGTGTTTGCATCTGTGTTACGGCTGTTGTAAGGGAGGATAGTTTTTATCACTCGAGAAAGATTTTGTCCTGCTGTGAGAGCTTTCAAAGATGAAAAGTGATAAAATGACCTTTAGCCTCTGACCTGAGACAATTCATTTATCCAGGGGTCTGAGGACGAGGGTGCAGCATTGCTGGGGGCATCAGCAGATGAGGTCAAGGCCATCCCGTCCAATGCTCAGATCATCTCCCGTCTTTTCTACTTTGGCACCAAGTCCTTTGAGAAGTGAGTAATGCAGATTAGAAGTGTGTGTGTGGTGGGGGAGTTGCAGCTTATTTTCTGTCTGTTTGGTCAGTCTACCTGTTTCTCTGTCCCTCTTTTTCTGTCTATTTATTTACATGTCCCTTCTTTTATCTGTCTTGATAGCAGCATAGTGTTTGTTCTCTCTTTCTCTCTTTCAAGTTTTCCCAATACCCCTTTTGCATCTTTTGTTTTTTTTTGTCATTCTATCTGTCTGTCTATAAATCTCTTTTTCTCTGATTTGTCACTTTATTTATTTTCTCCTATTCTCCCTGTCTCTACCTACAACTCTCAGTTTGTCTGTCTGTGTATCTAAATCGCTTTAGCTATCTTGAAATATCACTCTCTCTCTCTCTCTCTCTCTCTCTCTCTCTCTCTCTCT